GATCCTCCTCAAAGAGGTCTGAACTGCAGACTGTGTATAATGCGTGTTGCAGGTCGATAAGCCCATGAGGAGATATACATCCCTATGGAGGACAATTACTGGGGTAAACTTCCGGGTTTTCCCCTACCTGTGGAGATAGGACAGAAGCAAGAGTGGACACCTGCAGAAGTTGGGTTATAAGTGGTCACAACAGGGGCCTCCTCTAATCCCATGAAGCTATCAAATTGAGGTGGCTCTTTTAAGTTGTCCCTGGTGGAGAGAGGCAGCCTCGCATTTACAGCTCCTGCCTACACCTGGAAGTTCCAGCTTGTGGGTTGCCCCAGAGAAGGAATATGCTCGTGATGAGGACACTTTCTACTAGTAGAGAGGGCAGTAGGTTAGAGCTGCCTGTGTGAGGAATCCCCTTGCTGAGGAATAAGTCTGTCAGTGCAGACAGGGCCCAGGGTGGTGCATCACAGCATCCGGGGCAGGCAGCTGTCCGGGAGTTAGGCAGGTAGGTTTCAGTCCTACTCATTTGGCAACCTGGTCACAAGAGGCAAGGTTTCTTTACGAAGGAGTGCAATCATATCCCCACAGCTGAGAGGTCTTATACCCTGAAGCAACATGGTCTGTAAAATATATTCATCCAGTGAGATGAAGTCATGAAAAAATCATGTCTTGTCTTATATGAATAAACTGACCCCTCAAATCATATTCATACTCCATGTCAGGCTAATGGGCCACTTAAATCATCCCATGCTTTAGTCAATTTATGAACATAAAGGGTAATTTTAGAAACTGACCAAAAGATGGCAGCCTACACATATGATGTTACATTTCTTTGGATGCAGGGAAAACACTGAACATCAAGGCTAGTTTATATTCCAAAGATTATTCTAAAGAGCAGCTAAATGATTCTTCATAAAAGCCTATCTTAATTTTTTTCCACTTTTTTTGTTGACAATGTGTTGCACACAGATATAGTGGCAGTTTTTCCAGTGTATGTACACGATGAGAGGGTGAGAGTGTTTGGGGGTGCTATTTGTTGCACACTTACTTGCTAAAGAGGTTCTGCCTTTCATCTTGTAGAATAGCTGTTGCTGACCTCTACCTGGTAACCTATCTGTGCCTCAGTTTTCTCATTTGCAAATGGAGATATTTATAGGACCTCCCTTATAGAGTTGCCAGGAGAATAAATGAGTGAAAACATATACACAATTTGTAACAGATCCTGGTATATGTTGTGTTAGATATTAATTTTTACTATTCGCCATTTTCAACTGAGAGGCCAGAAACTGTACTTCCTTCTAATAAAAGCTGTTTAAATCTTTTGTACAAATTCGGGCATAAATAAGTCACACGTATACATGCAGAAGCTGAACTACAAAGAGATTAAATAACGAGTCTGGGATAAAACTTCTAGTAAATGCCTGGGATGGGTTTCTAACCCTGGTCTTATTGCTGGACACACTTTCTGCAAGTCCTTACTACATCTGAAAGCGCAGCTACATCTGACTATTTTTTTTTTTTTTTACCAAATTTTGATTTTTTAATATGCTTTTCTTCCTCTTCTAACTGGAATATTTAAGGATCATCTTGTCATTTTAATTCTTAGCTCAAATAATTGAGCATATTGCTAGCTTTGGCATTATAGAAAAATAAACTAGGATTTTATCATGGGAATTTTAATTGTATCATGTGTTTGGTGTTTATGTTACTCTTTTAATGAGGAATTAGAGTGAAGATGTACAAAATAAAGAATGTTGTCAAAGCAGTGTAGGCATATGTCTGTATGATTTGACTTTGTGCTCAAAGATCCTCAGGAATTAAGGCAAGGAAAGGTAAGTTAAGTCATCTAGTCTGTATTTGCACTGGTAACCATACTGACAATGAATGTGACCTAACACATGGTTACATCTTTTTTTAAAAGTTTTATTCAAATTGCCAGATTCCAGGTTCTGATTATTAGATAGGGGAAAAGAATCAAAGTTCTCAAAATTATAAATGTGTAGAGTAATTCAAGGATGACTACATGGACAACTAGATAGCTCAAAGTTTCTCACTCTAGTCACTTTCTCCACTAAATCACAATAGCACAGGTTGGAACACTTGAGACATGTGGTATATGCAACTTTACCTTTGCTCATAAGAGAAATTTTAGGTGCCAAAATAGAGCCCACATCATGGCAATATGTTGACCATATAAATTAGGTGTTCACTCCTAGCTTCCAGAAAAGCCATTAGTACTTCCTACACAAGTAAACATTAAAAACATTTACAAGACTATTTTTATTATAATACTAGAGGCCTGATGCACGAATTCTTGCACCAGTGGGGTCCCTCGGCCTGGCCTGCGGGATGGGGCCAAAACCAGCTCTCCAACATCCCCCGAGGGATCTTGGATTGTGAGAGGTTGCAGGCCAGGCTAAGAGACCCCACCAGTGCACGATTGGGGCAGGGGAGGGACACGGGAGGTTGGCCAGTCCAGGAGGGACCGCGGGAGGACTCCAGGGTGTGTCCGGCCCGTCTCACTTAGTCCTGATCAGCCAGATCCCAGCAGCAAGATAACCTACAAGTCAGAGCATCTGCACCCTGGTGGTCAGTGCACATCACAAGGAGCAGTTGAGTGGCCTTAGCACATCATTAGCATATTATGCTTTGATTGGTTGAATGAACGACCAGATGACTGGACACTTAGCATATTTGGCTTTTATTATATAGGATAATATAAAAAGTACTAATGTAACTTCCATATCTACAGATTTTGGGGTACCTTAGCTTATTGTTATTGAAAATTACTTTTCAGCAACCAAATGGAATAAAATTAAATTGTTTTAGGTATTTTTCAGTTATCTTCACAAAAGAATTTCTCTATATTGCATGATTTAGCATATGTCATGTGTCGAGTTTTTTTTTTTTTAATTTCTCAAATTTATTAGTTGGGTATAAGCATATATATGACCTTCCCATTCCTCCATTTCATGCCTTAAAAATAAATAGCAGGAAAAAGTGACTATAAAAGAATGCATCTTTGGATGCTGAAGAAAGAAGATTTGGAGGTGTTTCTATAAGCCCAGGGTTTTAAACTTTCCCTTGTAGGCATGGCAAGACATAGCATTAGCAACATAACAAACCTCATTTGTTAGGTCAGAAAATTGCAAAAAGTACTCTAAAAAGTGTAGGGAAAATATGGAATCATCTATTTCAAGTTTGATAAGCACACAACCCATCAAAATTCATAAGATATTGTGAACTGCTTTCAATTGCTACCTTATTAACCCATCCTGATCACATTCAATAGCCTGATCTCTGTAAGACACATGGGAGAAAAAGATCAGCAAAAATCCTGTACAGCAACCCAACCTCTCTCCCAAGATTTTGGACTTCCACTAAAGGCCCCTTCTTTCTTCTGCCCAGAAAATGGAAGAACTAAATCATATTAGGGTCATATCAACATCCTGCAGGCTTTTGTAGCTACTAAAAGGGACTCTGCTTCCCTGTCTCACTGTCGCCATCTGTAGGGCGAGATGAGGAACTGAGAATTAGCATCTATTGCTTGGGTCTCCACCTTATTAAAAAACGAGTGATGTCTTCCCAACTTTTTTAGAATATAAATACTCTTAAAGGATATTTGTATTAAGCTAGCTTATCAGAATTAAATATCCTTGTCTTCCATAATTAATTTATGAAATAACTCTTCTCAATTTCCCTCGTTAATGCTGGAAGCACAAAGGCATGCATTCTCACTCCTGGCTTTTCCTTTCCCTAGACCTAACGTCGACTACAATTCTCTCCGCTTCCATGCCTGTTCCCTTTCTCTACGGGAGTGTTATCCTCAACATGTTGTAATTGATGAAACCACATGGCATGTTTTCCAAAGGGGCTTCACCATTCTACATTCCTACCAGCCATATGTGAGGGTCCCAATTTTTCCACATCCTTGTCAACACTCGTTATTGTCTTTTTTATTATTATAGCCATCCTAGTGGGTGACGTCTCAAATAATGTTCGTTAAGGCCTTTATGCTACACATTGAGTTCATTCAACTTAAGGAAACTGACATATTAGCAAATTCCAAAGCCAGTTTTCATTCCTAAATCAATCAGCCATGTATACTTTCTCCAACAATAAAATCTCTCACTCATTTTCAATTCAAAGCGACATTTTCATCCTCATGAAAACCGTTCCACTCTCCAGCTCAACTTGTGAGTTACACAGGGAGTAAAACCAAGGGGGGAGAAGAAAGTAAGGGCCCTCCTCCTAACTTTGCAGCCTGAAAACGTGTCCCATCATCTTGGGTGTTTCACTGGTTCTCTGTTATGATTTTATGGGATTTTCCTGAAGAAGCGACCAAGAGCCTCTCACAAAAGTCTGAGAATGTAGAAAAAACGGAAGTGGAAATATATTATTTTTCCACCCTCCTACACCATACATAAAGCTAAGGGCTAACACAAGCTATGCTGTCAACAGAAATATTTCTCAAGACAGAGAAAAAACAGAAGCATACTATATTGCCTTGAGTAAACAAGGTTTCACACACCCATTATTTCAAAATTTTCCTTTCAATTGGGTCCTGTATATGTTTTTACACTCAATATAATTAGGACTTAACATTGGTCAGGATTATGCTTTTCTTTTTCTTTTTTTTTAAAAAGTGCAACTATCAAAAGGAATAGGGAAAAAAAGAAAACCAGCGGGAAGCTTGGACTTCAAAACCTTTTTTATCCCAAGATTTCTCCGCCTTCTCAACTGTCACCCAAGCCAGGCCGTGTCTAGCCTTCAGCGAGGACTATTTGGCTGTTTGAATTGGCGCTAAGCAACGTGCTCTAAATCCAGATTGACAGGACCATTGACCAATCACAGAACGAGGTTTCCTTTCCCTGGTCTAATAATGGCCGTTGCTTGGGAGACACAGTACTGAGCCGATGGAGGCGGGTCAAGCAGAGGAGCGTTAGAAACACCACCGACCCAGCCTCCGGCAGCATAAAGGGGTTCTTCAGCATTGTAGTTGTATTGTCAAGATGTCTCTTTCTAAGAAGTTAACTTTGGACAAACTGGATGTGAAAGGCAAACGAGTCGTTATGAGAGTAGACTTCAATGTTCCCATGAAGAACAACCAGATTACCAACAACCAGAGAATCAAGGCTTCAATCCCAAGCATCAAGTTCTGCCTGGATAATGGCGCCAAGTCAGTCGTTCTTATGAGTCACCTAGGTCGACCCGATGGTGTGCCCATGCCTGATAAATACTCCCTGGAGCCTGTTGCTGCTGAGCTGAAATCCTTGCTGGGTAAGGATGTCCTGTTCCTGAAGGACTGTGTGGGCCCAGAAGTGGAGAAAGCCTGTGCAAACCCAGCCAATGGGTCAGTCATCTTGCTGGAGAATTTACGCTTCCATGTGGAGGAAGAAGGGAAGGGCCAAGATCCTGCAGGAAATAAGCTTAAAGCTGAGCCACAGAAGATAGAAGCCTTCCGTCAATCACTCTCAAAGCTAGGGGATGTTTATGTCAATGATGCCTTTGGCACGGCTCACCGGGCCCACAGTTCCATGGTGGGAGTGAATCTGCCCCAGAAGGCGTCTGGATTCCTGATGAAGAAGGAACTGGAATACTTTGCCAAAGCCTTGGAAAACCCAGAGAGACCCTTTCTGGCTATACTTGGTGGAGCTAAAGTAGCAGACAAGATCCAGCTTATCAAAAATATGCTCGACAAGGTCTGTCACATGATTATTGGTGGTGGAATGGCTTATACTTTCCTTAAGGTACTCAACAACATGGAGATTGGTGCTTCCTTGTTTGATGAAGAGGGAGCCAAGATTGTCAAAGATATCATGGACAAAGCCGAGAAGAATGGTGTGACCATCACCTTTCCAGTTGACTTTGTTACTGCTGACAAGTTTGAAGAGAATGCTAAGGTTGGTCAAGCCACTGTAGCATCAGGCATCCCTGCTGGCTGGATGGGTTTGGACTGTGGCCCTGAGACCAATAAAAAGTTTGCTCAAATTGTGGGTGAAGCCAAGCTAATTGTGTGGAATGGGCCCGTAGGGTATTTGAATGGGATGCCTTTGCTCAGGGAACCAAAGCCCTCATGGATGAAGTTGTGAAAGCCACTTCCAGGGGCTGTATCACCATTATAGGAGGTGGAGACACCGCCACTTGCTGCGCCAAATGGAACACCGAAGATAAAGTCAGCCACCTGAGCACTGGAGGAGGAGCCAGTCTAGAGCTTCTGGAAGGTAAAGTCCTTCCTGGAGTGGATGCCCTCAGCAACCTGTAGCTGACAAAGTATTCCTTCCTACTGTTTCCTGCCCCACAGCCTCTGACAAAGTAGTGCTCTTACATCTCAACTTGACTTTTGTTAAAATCTACCCCTGTATCAAGATCCAGGCAAATGACCAAGGGATGAGCTATCAGGAACTCTTAACATCAGCACAGAAATGCAGTCCAATTTTAGTTCTGTCATGCATCTACCTACGCTCTTAAAGATCTCATTTGAACTTGACCATTGTGATTCATAGGAAGTGGGTTACCTATTAAAGCAAGTTAAATAAGCTGAATCTCTCCTCACTTTTATTTTAGCCTAGCTCTGTCATTTTTCACTATTAGAAACATGGGAACAAGATAAAATCTTAATTGCTGAGGAAGGGTGGGGGCAGAAGCTGACAGACTATTAAACAATAAAAGTGCCCAAATAAACTGAAAAAGAAAATTACATTTAAGAACTCACGAGTGCATTATTAGGATCTCCTAAGAGGAAATTTCTTACTAAATAAGGAAAATAATAAATAAAGCATTCATATTAAACCCATGAAGTTAAAAAGAAGACATTAAGCCTAAAGAAGGTATGTCTGTGCGTATGGATGCACAGGCATGTACACACATATTTATTAGAATGAGACTTATAAATCATATCCCAGTTTCAAATAGAGAAGTAATTGTTTTCTTTTTAAAGCAGATGTTGTTTAATACATAGATAATATAACTGCTAAATCTAAACACTGGGATTTTTGAAATGCATAAGAAATATGTATAAAGATAGTTTAGCCATGGGGAAAATAGAGGTATAAAACCTCTTCCATATTAGAAAATATAGTAAGAAAATACTAAAGAAATGTAGATGAAATGAAAATACCTGCTGGAGAATGTTTTGCCTAATTATGTAGACAGAGCTGTTTGGGGACAATGTTGCTATCAAATTAAGAGTAAAAATGCAGAGTAAATGATCCCACCTATCATGGCCTATGTCCCATTGTCCCAAATCAATTCTATCTATATATTAAGTATCCTGAATAATTGAACTTAAATATAATCTTAGCATACCTAAAACATACCTTATTTCTAAGGACAATATTAATAATGTCATCGTAACCCCATGGAAGATGTAGGAGTTAAGGTATAGACTTAAAACAATTAAAAAAGAAAACCAAAATTATAGGAGTTGAAACAAGATTACAGCATATTACTTGGTTGAGTATAAGTCCAGTCCACCTAGATAGGCTCTTTATCATGAGGTCATTTAGAGTACCTCATGGTCAAACTAGTGAAACAAATCCATTGCTCTTAATAAGTGAGCGCTATCTCTGGGTCTGAGCTTTTACTACTTGACTAGAGGCCCGATGCATGAAATTTGTGCATTCGGGGCAGGGGAGGGAGGCGGTCATCCCTCAGCCCGGCCTGCACCCTCTCACAGTCCGGGACCCCTCAGGGGATATCCGCCTAAGCCACAGGCAGACATTCCTCTCAGAGTCTGGGGCTCTCGCAGTCCAGGACCCCTCGCTCCTTATTGCCTGCCTGCAGCGGAGGTGGGAGAGGTTTCTGCCTCTGCAGCAGTGCTAAGAAGCAGTGAGCCTGGCTTCTGGCTGAGCGGTGCTCCCACAGGGGCCACTGCACTCAGCAGCCATGAACCCGGCTTCTGGCTGAGTGGCGCTCCCCTTGTGGGAGTGCACTGACCACCAGGGGGCAGCTCCTGCATTGAGCATCTGCCCCCTGGTGGTCAGTGCGTTTCATAGCGACCAGTTGTTCTGACAGTTGTCCCACCATTTGGTCAATTTGCATATTAGGGTTTTATTATATAGGATAGCCAGCCCAAAGGTGGAGTTAAAAAAAAGCAATGCATTTTTTAAATTAAATCTTTATTGTTGAAAGTATTAAATATGTCCTTCTTTTCCCTCAATTGACCCCTTCTAGCCTACCCCATCCCCTATCCCTGGCCCCAGGCCTTCATCACCCTATTGTCTGTGTCCCTGGGTTATGCATATATGCATATAAGCACTTTGGTTGATCTCTTCCCACACACACACCCTCCTCTGCCTTCCCTCTAAGGTTCCATAGTCTGTTCCATGCTTCTCTGTCTTTGGATCTATTTTGTTCGTCAGTTTATTTTGTTCATTTGATTCCACATATGAGTGAGATCATGTGTGTATCACCTTTATTGATTTGTGAATATTGTACCAGCTTTGAATCCCTGGAATAAATCCCACATGGTCATGGCATATGATCTTTTTAATATATTGCTGGATCTGATTTGCTAATATTTTGTTGAGGATTTCAGCATCTATATTCATCAGGGATATTGGCCTGTGGTTCTCTTTCTTTGTAGTATCTTTATCTAGTTTTGGACTTAGGATAATGCTGGCCTCATAAAAATGCTGGCCTCATAAAAAGAGCTTTGAATTAGGATAAGGCTGGCCTCCTAATCCTCTTGATTTTTTTTGAATAATTTGAGGAGGTTAGGTGTTAATTGTCCTTTGAAGGTTTGGTAAAACTCCCCTGTAAAGCCATCAGGACACTGGCTTTGGTTTGCTGGAAGTTTTTTTTTTATTACTGCTTGTATTTCATCAGTTGTTATTGACTTATTCAGGTTTTTTGATTCTTCCAGATTCAGTTTTGGAAGATTGTATTTTTTTTTTTTAGAAATTTGTCCATTTCATCCACATTGTCCAGCTTATTGGCATACAGTTGTTCATAGTATTTTCTTAAAATCCTTTGTATTTCTGTGGTGTCAGTTGTTACTTCACTGCTTTCATATCTGATTTTATTTATTAGGGTCCTCTCTCTTTGTTTCTTGGTGAGTTTGGCTAACAGTTCATCAGTCTTGTTTATCTTTTCAAAGAACCAGCTCTTCGTTTCATTGATTTTTTTTGGTATATATTTTTAGAATCTATGTCATTTATTTCTGCTTTAATCTTTATTATTTCCTTCCTTCTACTTATTCTGGGCTTGTTCTTTTTATAATTCTTTAAGTTGTAGGGTTAAATAGTTTATTATTAATTATGCTTGTTTTTTGGTGGAAAGGAAATAGGAAAAATAGGAAACTACAATAAAAATACCTAAAACAGTCATTGGTTCATTACAATTATAAACAAATCATGCTGGATGGAAGTTTCAAGAACTCCCTGATCTGGCAGTGGAATATTTTCTTTGGTTAGACTGTGGCTTTGTTCTCTGGGAGGAAGTTTCTTTTCATTGTCCTTTTGGCCCCAAATGTGGTCACCTGGAAAGTTTTTCTCATTTCCTAATCTTTCTGAAGAAGCTGATGTTGGAGAGTTGGGCCACATTAAACCACCACACAGCTTCTCTAGCTTCCTCCTTGCTGGTGCAGTCTTAAGAAAGCAATGAGTTCCTATTATTGCAAACAACTAATAGTCATTTAAGGTCAGACCTGTGATTTTTCAACTTTCTATAAAATCGCATGTGAAAGAACTGCACCCCAATAATCACCACTTTCCAGCCTTTGGTGTCTCTTTACTCATTTCCTCCCACCTGACCCCTAAGTAGATGCCAGATTTTATTAGTTTTATTAAGGCAGCATCGCACTTACCAGTAGCATTTTTACCTTCTAGTTATTGGTCCTTTGATTCTTACCTTTAAATAATTGGTCTAGTTGCTGGGCCCACTTTCCTCCTCTTCATCATAAGAATGGGTAACTTGTGTCCCCTGAAATAGTAAGTGGGGTGGGAAGGCCGTATCTATAATCTGATCTTTGCTGCAGCCTCCTTATTTTTTGGCTGAAAAGTTAAAAAATTTAAGAAAATGGTGACAATCTGTTTTTGCTGTTTGTGGTATTGAGACAACTTTTAAACTTGGAGATAACTCACTTTCCTGGTCTATTAGCCAATTTAAGTTGCAAGCAATAAGCAGATTGCCCAATGTTTCCTGGCTGTGCTCATTTTTAAGTCTATTTCTAATCCTTACTTATTTCACTATTAGTATTAATATTTTTTACTGATGAAATAGTAATATATTCAATTTTGAGATCCCAGTCCCTCCTGGGATGAGTAAAATATGACATACACAACAAAATGTTATTCTGAAATATAAAAGAGTTAGGGATTACAAAACATGTCTGGCTGCTAGGGTTTTGAATAAGGAATTATGAACCCATATATCTTCCTGCCTTCTTATGTGTACATGGGGACACACACACACACAGGTGAAGAAGATTAACAGGTATAAACTTCCAGCTGTAAAATACATTAGCTCACTTTTGTTGTATTTTACTTAAAACGCATGTAATAACCAAACACTGATATTCTACTTGTGCCTAAATATTTTCCTTGTAACTTTAAGGCATATAGGACCATGTCCTCCCTACTACAATACCATAGGCAACAAATGCCACAGCAGGAAAATAATCACCACTTTCCAGCCTTCTGTGTCTCTTTACTCATTTCCTCCCACCTGACCCCTAAGGAAATGCCAGATTTTATTGGTTTTATTAAGGCAGCATCGCACTTACCAGTAGCAATTTTTACCTTAGTCTATAGACTAGTGATTCTCAACCAGGGACAATTTTTTCTTGTAAGGATCATTTGCCAAATGGACACACTTTTGTTTGTCACAACTGGGATGGAGGAGAGGGGCTGTAGGGATCTAGCATTTGCCACCAAAGATGTTACTAAAGATCCTACAATACACAGGATAACCCTCACAACAAAGAACTACCCAGCCCCAAGTGCCATCCTAGAGATTTACTTCATTCTCATGTGACATTCAGGGGTGGTTAAGAGTAAGTAGATACTTTTCATTGAGCTCATCCAAGGACCCAGGCAAGCAAAACCTGCACATGGCTTCCCTCCCTAGGAGCAGGAATATCAATTCAATTGGTGACATTTTCTGGCCAACTCGAAAGGGAAAGAGAGACCCAGAGCTAGCATCCTATTTTTAAGGAAGAAAATGGGGAGTAGTGCATATTAATTTTTATTATATCCCTTTATCCTGAACTTAGTAATATGATCATTTGTAGCTAATGGTAAACAGGGAAATTTATTTTCTGGC